TTCCTGTGGTAAATCTAATGCATGTGTATGCTCTGGCCTATGGAGTTGTCACCATTCTCAGTTAAATGCAGCTGCCTTGAACTTTATAGAAGCATACATACATATATACATACATACATACATACATACCCAAAAAATGATCCCAACTCCTCTGATTGCATTCAGATGTTGTATACATTTAAATTTACTGCAAGTCAGATTTCTTTCTAAGTATCTCTGGCTAGGAAACCCCTCTCTCTCTCTCTCTCTCTCTCTCTCTCTCTCTCTCATATGATTTTTGGCTTTTTACCAAATGGAAAGCATAAAGAAGATTATGTGAAATACAATATGTAGCAGGGGTTTTTTTTTCCTTATAAAGCTTGATGCCTTTATCAAACTGACGTTCAAATGGATGAAATTACTACTTGGAGCAATTAAATTAAAGGTGAGCCTTTGGTACAGTGCAGGACAGAGGTTCTCAAATGATGTACAAGACTGGTTCTTTCTAATTCCCACTCCATCAAATGTAATGATATAGGGTGCTGTTACTCAAGAAACAAGGGCTACACATGTTGGTACCTGTTACGTGTGTGTGTGTGTCTCAGTCCTGGTTTTGGGATTTTTTGAATATTCTATATGCAGGCACATCTTGGGCTGATATTTAAGAAAGGGGGACATTCCGATACTGAGATTAATTTTACTGAGTATAAAGGAGATCGCAAAAGCAAGAAGTGAGAGGTACATTTACAATGCATTCAAATGATCCATTACAATACCTAGATGAATCCCACCCATAGCTAGTTCTGATGAAATCCACCTGTGAACATTTCCAAAGAAGCAAGGATTGGGGGATGGTCTGGGAATAGATGTGGGGGGTCTTAAGGTTGTAGGGTCTAGGAGAGAGAGGATCTGAAGAGCTGGGGCAGCCTAGTAGACTCTGGAAAAACAAGGAGGTTGTGACTGTGGTGTGTGTGTCTGGATATGGGAGGAAAGCCAGGGTTCTCCCCAATGGGGACCCCAAGCAGCTTATGTTGTTCTCCTTTTCTTCATGTTATCCTCACAACAACCCTGTGAGTAGGCTTGCCAAGTCCCCCGGGGGGCGGGAAAACCCCCGCCCCAGAGGCCTGTTCCCCGCCACCGGCGGATTGGGCCCCGGGGGGAACCCCACCCCAAAGTACGCAACGAGCACGTCACCCGGAAGTGACGCGACTACGCCGGGCACGCTGGAAGTGGGGCCACGGTCATTCGAGGGAAAACTCTATGGTTTTCCCTCGGATGGTCGTGCCCTGCCCCCAGCGTGCCCGGCGTGGTTGCGTCACTTCCGGGTGACGTAGTTGCGGCGCGCGCTCACACTCCAGGAGCGAACCAGGAGTCCCCCGTGGTCACCTGGTGAGCTTCCATGCAGAGTGGGGATTTGAACTGGGATCTCCCAGATCCTAGTCCAATACTCTAACTACTGTAGAGCAAGGACAGCAAACTTGGCAGGCACTGTTGTGGCTACAGGAGTTTATGAGAAAGGGGATAAGTCATCCACTGCCTGTCCTGAAGGGTGTTTCAGGCTGTCAAAGTGGTAGAAGGCGGTTTAGAAGTAAAGCAGACCCTATCTTGCTAGCTTAAAAGGCACGATAGTTATCCTTTTTCCCTCTCACCATTTTGGAGGTCTGGTGATAGTTGTGGAGTCTCAGACAATACCTCTCCATGAATTACTCTTGGGGGCTATGCTAATTTTGTCAGAAGATGGTCCTAGGGTTGTCGGCTCTGGGTTGGGAAATTTCTGTAGATTGGGGGTGGGCACACTTGGGGGATGGACCTTGGTGGGGTACAGTGCCACAGAGTCCACTTTCTAAAGCAGCCATTTTCTCGTGGGGGATTGAGCTCTGCAATCTGGAGACCAGTTGTAATCCTCGGAAATCTCCAGGCCCCACCTGAACTTTGGCAACCCTAGATGTTCCTACTTTCAGAAATTTAATCAGGAGAGTTTCTTGATTGCTGTGACTGATGGGAGGGCATTATTTTGGACATCCGCTTAGTATACTCAGGTTGTTTGTTGACATTTCATCATAGGGTTGCCAAACCCCCCAGTTTGCCAAGGGTCCCCCGTTTTGGAGGAGTTCTACCCGCCCCCAGCCAGATGGCCGGCGGGGGAAGTCCCGCCCCCAACACCCACACCCACCCCTCTCTCTCCCTTTAAGTGTGTGGAACTCGTGTTTCCTCCCAAGTCTATGTTTCCTCCCAAGCCCGATCTCCACTTGAGATCAGGGTTGCAAGGAAATGCCAGCTTTGTGCTCTTAAAAGGGAAACACGGCTGCTCTTAAAGGGGAAATGCCGGCTCCTGCATTTAAAAGGGAAACGCCGGCTCCTTTAAGTGCAGGGAATTGCCGTTTCTCGAGATCCGACACGCGGGCGGGCGGGCGGACATCCCCAACATGACGTCATCACGTCAGGGATGCCCCGCCCCCT